TCCCGCAGAACAAACACGCCTGGCTGGTATTAAGCCCGCCATAGCTTTGTTTACATTTCGCCCAAGTAGGTTATGTTCACCGTGTAGCCGGGTCGCTCTCCTCCCTCCCCCCACCCCCTCCCCTTCGCTTTATTCTCACAGCAAATTAAAATACGAAAAAAGAGAGGAGAGAGAGAAAAAAAAAAACGAGATGGAAGATGGTGTTGCCGTAAATTACAAACAACCTCTTTCTGGTTGTTAATAAGAGTGGCCGAGTGTGGTGACATGGAGGCGCCCGGTTCGACACCACTCTCTCACCATCACTACGCCTCCTCCAACACCACACTCCCACCAACACCACACCACATCGATAGCAACGTTACGGTTTATCTCGCATGCGTTAGAGCCGTTACAAAAAAAAAAAATCGTTGACGGGTTTTATGGTTTACACAACGAAAGGACATCTGCCGTTGCCTCACGTCACGCAGGCACAGTAACTGCAAACCGCTTTTATATGACATGCAAAAAAGGGAAAAAAAAAGATAAATAAAAGAATGCAGAGTGAGAGCATCTGTCTTTTGGCATCTCGATCCACGTGACGCCACAAACCGACGCAGATGGATAAAATGGACCGTAAATTATTATCCTCTCGACAGATAGAACGATTTCAAAATCTCAGCCGAGCCGCAAGACCTACATCTCAATACTTGCGGTTAACACACACACACACACACACACACACACACACACACACACACCACAACACACACACACACACACACACACACAATAATAATAATAATAAATAATAATAATAATTAATAATAATAATAATAAAATAAATAAATAAAAAATAGGCCTAACATACAGCAGATAAATTAATCGATTAATAATCAAAGTACATCAATTAATAGACAGACAAATAAATAATAGTTTGTTGTGTCTGTTCCACCTCTCTTGCAGCAGGAGGGAATCTGGCCTCGGAGACTGTGTGTGTGTGTGTGTGTGTGTGTGTGTGTGTGTGTGTGTGTGTGTGTGTGTGTGTGTGTGTGTGTGTGTGTGTGTGTGGTGTGTGTGTGTGTGTGCGTGTGTGTGTTGATGTTTGAGTTCTGTTAGTTTTTAATGACTGAGATCTGTCACACACAGACACCACCACCCACCACAACAACACACACACACACAAAACACACACACGCACACACACACACACACACACACACACCAAACACACACACACACACACACACACACACACACACACACCAAACGTTTCCTGTGGCCCGGAACATGTGAATGGGAATACATCCTCGTATACCGTGAGCCAAACCCTCATCCAATTACATAATTATCACTCTTATCATTCACAGCATGCTATAACGGTAAAAAAAATGTATATATAATCTAGAGATGTGCTCTATCACTGTTCCTTTTACCCTTCTCTCTGTTCTCTTGCTCTTCTCTCCTCTTCCTGGTTCTGGCTTTCCCTCTATCTCTGTCTGTCTGTCTGTCTCCTTTTTCTTCATTTCCTATCATTTTTTTTACCTCCTTATTTTCCTCTCTCTCTTTACTCTCTCTCTCTCTCTCTCTTCTCTCCTCTCTCTCTCTCTCTCTCTCTCTCTCCTCTATCTCTCTCTCTCTCTCTCTCCTCCCTCCTCTCCTCTCTCTTCTTCCCTATCTTCTCTCATTCTTCCTCGCCCCTCTTCTTCGCCCATCCATTCCCCTCTCTTCTTCTTCACCTTTGATCCTTTTCTTCACTCTCCTTTTTCTTTCCTCCCTCCCTTCCTTCCTATCTTATCTCTTATACTCCTTTCCATTCCTAATCCCCCCTCCCCTCCCTCCCTCCCTCCCAGTTCCCTGGCATTGACCTTGTTACCATGTCATTTTTTTTTTTTTTTTTACACAACCGGATATCATGTTTGCTGATGAGAACAACCCTCCCTCCCCTTCCTCCCTCCTCCTACCCTCCCTCTTCCATCATCGTCCTCCCTACATTATCAATCATTCGCAACCCTCCTCCCAAACCCTAACCCTTCCCCACCTTACCTTTTCCCCAATCCCGCCCTACGACATAACCTAGACCTCCTTCTCTATTCTAATCTAAATATATATTTTTCTACCCTAATCTACCTCCATACTAATCTAAATATAATATTTTCTACCCTAATCTACCTCCATACTAATCTAAATATATATTTTTCTACCTAATTACTCCATACTAATCTAAATATAATTTTTTCTACCCTAATCTACCTCCATACTAATCTAAATATATATTTTCTACCCTAATCTACCTCCATACTAATCTAAATATATATTTTTCTACCCTAATCTACCTCCATACTAATCTTAATCTAACCCTAATCTACATATTCTACCTACCTAATCTACTCTACTAAATCTAAATATATATTTTTCTACTCTAATCTACCTCCACACTCAACACTGAAGCCAACCACGATCCTCTCCTCACCCTTACAAAAACAATAACAGTAACAACAAATAAAACCTAAAAAAAAGCAAGACAAACCCCAACTTTATCCTCCAAGATCAACAACAACAACAAAGAAAAAGTCGCTTGTTGACGCAAAGAACCGGTGAGTTGCACGAGGGAGCTGAGACCCCCTCCCTCCCCTCTCCCCCCCTCCTTCCCCACCCCCCTCCTTCCCACTCCTCCCCCTCCTTCCACTCCCTTTCCCTCCTCCCTCTCTCCCCTCCTCCCTCTTCTCCCCCTTCCCCTCCCTCCTCCTCTCCTTCCCTCCTTCCTCCTCCCTCTCCTTCCCCCTTCCCCTCCCCTCCTCTCCTTCCCTCTCCCTCCTCCTCTCCTTCCCCCTCCTCGCCCTCCTTTCCCTCCTCTCCTTCCCTCCCTCCCTCTCCTCCCCTCCTCCCCACTCCTTCCCCTCCCCACTCCTCCTCCCCACCCCCCGATAAACGTGTAAACAAAAAGACTGTGACCGATAGCGAATCCCCCCGGGGAAACGGGGTGAGAAAAGCAAACAAGACTCGTAAACAAACGTGGAAACTTGACGAGTCGAAGATAAGGAGATGCGGAATATGGGTGAGAGAGAGAGAGAGAGAGAGAGAGAGAGAGAGAGAGAGAGAGAGAGAGAGAGAGAGAGAGAGAGAGAAGAGAGAGAGAGCGAGGTGGGAGGGGGAGGGAGAGAGGGGGAGGGGGAGGGAGGGGGAAGGGAGAGGGAGGGGAAGGGAGAGAGGGAGAGAGAGAGAGAGAGGGAGGAGAGGGAGAGAGAGAGAGAGAGAGAGAGAGAGAGAGAGAGAGAGAAGGAGAGAGAAGAGAGAGAGAGAGAGAGAGAGAGAGAGGAAGAGGAGAGAGAGAGAAGGGAGGAAAAGAGGGAGGAGAGGAGAAGAGAGAGGAGAGGAAGGGGGGGGGAGGAGGAGGAGAGAGAAGGGAGAGAGGGAGGGAGAGAAGGGAGAGAGGGAAGGGAGGGAGAGAGGAGGAGGATAGGGGGGGAAAGGGAGAGGAGGAAAGAGAGGGAAGAGAGAAGACGAGAGAGAGAGAGAGAGAGAGAGAGAGAGAGAGAGAGAGAGAGAGAGAGAGAAGAGAGAGAGAGAGCTTGACCTACACCTGGAACTCAAAGCACAAACAATAAACAATAAATACGCAAGTCAGTTGAGACGAGAGAGAGAAATAAAAATAGTGACTGCTCTTTACTTCATTAAGGAGAGGAAAAAAAAGTCTAATTTACAACAAAGTTCCAGAACAAAAACTGAATTTCACGTATTTTGGTTCAACTTGGATCAAACAAACAAACGTAAATTATCTTTATCCTGTAATGAAATTCATTTAATATGTGGATCGCGTCCCTTTCATTCGTCACGCCTTAATCTATTTTCCAAATTCCTGTCGACTTAAAGCAAAAAAAAAAAAAAAAAAAAAAAAAAAAAGAAAAAAAAGAAAAAAAAAAAAACATTGATGTATTGAAGAAAAAAAAGTTTAAAAGACAAAGGTCGAAAAGTAGCATAAAAGCTTAAAAAAAAAACTTTTATCGGCCGAATATTACAAACATCACTAATAAAAAAAATCTAAGCCAGGAAGATCCAACTCAAGAACACACACACACAAAACAAATATATAAATAAAACACAAGTTATCAGCAGAGACAAGAAAATCCAAATATCCATTAGGATAAAAAGGAGTCTACACAATTACTAATGAAATTTGTAAAAGCAAAATAATTTCTCTCTGAGGGCAAAACGATCTATAATACACAAAACTCAAAACTTCATACCTCCCCAGTAAAAAAAAAAGAAAAGAAAAGAAAAGGAAAAAAATATTGCTCCTACTTCTCAGACACCAAACGCAATGTTATGATCCAATTCGATTAAAAAAACAGTAAAAATACTATGAAAAGGTTATTGTCTCCTTTATCTGTTCCTAATTGGTTGCTGGGAACATCACCGCTTCCGTTCTTTATTACAGTCATCGTAGCAGATCGTTTCTTCTGCTATTGAAAGCGTGTTCTTTTATTCATTATTGTCATTTTCGCGTGACGTCACGATTTCGCAAGGTTGCCAATTCGTGATTCCCGACAAGAGTCTGGGAAACTTATTAAACATCCTGTGTAGATAATTTGAAGTATCATAATTGGTGTAAATAATAACTCAACCCGGAGAGGAAAAGACAATATTCATTTAAATCTACCAAAACAAGAAAGTAACAGAAAACGAAGACTGAGGAGACAAGTTGAGAGCGGGAAAAAAAAGAAAAAGAAAACGCGAGAAAATCCCCGCGAAAAAAAAAAAAAAAAAAACACGAAGCCCATTGGCGCCTTACCTTGACGTTGAACTTGATGCCATGGCTGAAGGCTTCCTCCGGGTGTAAGGGAATCCTCGAATCATAGTCATCGTTCGTCACCAAGTTGTACTGTTTCTTGCTGGGCATCCGCATCTTCCCGCGCATCTGGCAACGCGCCTCACTCCAAGCGAACGCGCGCACAAATAATTTATATGCACACGATATAGACTACACACGCGCGAACGCACTTTTTAGTATAAATATTTCCTTCTTATCTGATGCTGCCCATTGGGTGGATTTTGAGGAGAGAAGAGACGGGGGAAGAGAATAAGAGAGAGAGAAAAAAGATGGGAAATGACCCGTGACGGCTACAGGTTGGCGCTGCTACAACAAAAGCCGTAGGAGGGGGAGAGGGGGGGGAGAGTAAGAGAACAGGAGGGGAAGAGGGGGGAGGGGAGGGTCAATGGGGGGCTGGGCTAGTTGGATCACTTTTGAAATTTCCTTTCCTTTCTTTTCCTCTATCTTTTCTTTTCTTTTTTTCCTTTCTCTTCACACGATGAGTTCACTTGTTTTCATTTTTTTTTATTTCTCTCTTTGGTTATGAGATCGATCACAGGAGGACACGAATCTTCTCCTGGTCCTGCGATGATTCAGCATTAATGCATCCTTTTTTATAAATATATATTCTGTAAAGAGAAAAAGAGAGATGAAAAAAGAGATTAGTAGAATTAAAAAAATGGTAAACTCAAAACACTTTAACCCAAAACACGAAATTATTTTAGGCCAACTGCAAAGGGGTCTCTGCGCGAATTTTAAAACCCAGTCAATAAATATCTTAAAACTGAACGAAAAGGTTGAAAAAAATATGAAGAAGGGGAGAGAGGAGAGGAAGATAGATAAATACAGAAAAGTGAAAGAGGGCGATAGAAGGGGAACGGAAGATAATTAAAATGGATAAGAAATGGAGGGAATAACGAGGGTAGGATAAAACAATGGAGAGTACGAAGATATAAAATGAGAGAGACAGGGGAAGGAGAAGGAAATGGGGGAGTAAGGGGTCGAGTGAGGTGCGACGAGGAGGAGGAGGAGGAGGAGGAGGAGGAGGAGGAGGAGGAGGAGGAGGAGGAGGAGGAAGAGGAAAAGGAGGAAAAGGAAGATATGAAGGACGAGAAAGAGGAGGAAGAGGAGGAGGAGGAGGAGTAGGAGACGAAGCAAGGGAAGGGAGAGGGGAGGAGGAGGAGGAGAAGAAAAAAGAGGTGTGGAGAAAGATAAAAAAAGGAAAAGAAGAACAAAAAAAAGAAAAAAAAGGAAAAGGAAGAAGAAAAGGGAAGTACAGATGGCCAGCGGGAATGCGGAGAAGAGGACAAGAAGGAAATAAAAAAAAAGAACTCTAGCATAAGAATGATGAATGGGAAGGCCCGGGGAATGCAAAGAAGGGGGCAAGGGGGAGGAAGAGGAAAAGTGAATAATAGATGAGAAACGAGGACGAGGCAAAAAATGAATAAAGTCGAGGAGGTGGATAATGGGAGGAATGCAATAGGGAAGGGGGGAGGGGGAGGGAGGAGTATGAGAAAGAAAAAGAAGAAGAGGAGAGCCAGAGGGAATGCAAGGAGAAGGAGAGAAGAGGAGGAGGAGGAGGAGGAGATGGAAGAGCAGGAGGAGAAAGAAGAATAAGAATAAGAGGAGGGAGAGGAGGAGGATTAGAAGGAAGAGAAAGAGGAGAGGAGGAGAAGAATAAGAATAAGAATAAGAATAAGAAAAAGAAAAGAAAAAGAAAAGGAAAAAGAAGAAGAAGAAGAAGAAAAAAGAAAAAGAAGAAGAAAAAAAAAAAAAAAAAAAAAAAGAGAGAAAGAGGAGGAGAGTGCAAAGAGCAGGGAACGCGCCGGTGCGTCCCCGCCTCCAGCGAAGCGTGGGTAAATGCAAGTCACACTCCAAGCTCTCCGTCCCTCCTCCCTCCCTCCCTCTCTCCCTCCCTCCCCTCCGTCCCTCCCTCCGTCCGTCCCCCCTCCCTCTCCCTCCCTCCCTCCCTCCGTCCCTCCGTCGCACCGATGGCTCGAGAGAGAGAGAATCGGATGCCAGAAGAGGTGTTGAATCCATGACACTCTATGACACCCGCTTATCTATGACACTCTGTGACACTCGCCTATCTATGACACTCGCCTATCTATGACACTGACACATCTATGACATGACACTCGCCTATCTATGACACTCTATGACACTCGCCTATCTATGACACTCTATGACACTCGCCTATCTATGACACTCTATGACACTCGCCTATCTATGACACTCCGACACTCGCCTATCTATGACACTGACACTCGCCTATCTATGACACTCTATGACACTCGCCTATGACACTCTGACACTCGCCTATCTATGACACTATGACACTCATCTATGACACTCTATGACACTCGCCTATCTATGACACTATGACAGTCGCCTGACTCTATGACACTCGCCTATCTATGACATTCATGACAGTCGCGACACTATGACACTCGCCTATCTATGACACTGACACTCGCCTATCTATGACACTCGCCTATCTATGACACTCTATGACACTCGCCTATCTATGACACTCTATGACACTCGCCTATCTGACTCTATGACACTCTATCTGACACTATGACACTCGCCTATCTATGACACTCTATGACACTCGGACTATGACACTCGCCTATCTATGACATTCCATGACACTCGCCTATCTATGACACTATGACACTCGCCTATCTATGACACTGACACTCGCCTATCTATGACACTATGACTCGCCTATCTATGACACTCTATGACACTCGCCTATCTATGACACTCTATGACACTCGCCTATCTATGACACTCTATGACACTCGCTTATACTTTCCCCGCGCGAGAGAGGGAAGGAGGACACAGCGAGAGAGAGAGAGATTCACAGGCGAGGAAATGCAACTTAAAAAAAAGAGCAAACACACACATAAAAAAGAGGATAATAATAATTTAAAAAAGCGTCTTATTTGTGAGAATGACTTCGCGTCAAGGAGGCTTTTCGTCCGTCTTGCCTTTGTGATGTTCACAGCAATGCGTTCAAGCAATGGTCACGTGATTTTTGTCTTTTTTTCTTTCTTTTCTTTTTTTTGGCTCCGACTTCTTTCTTTCTTTCTTTTCTTTTCTTTTCGTTCTTTTCTTAGCTCCGACTTCCTCCATTCAAGCGTTCTGAAGTCAGATTTTCTTCCCACAAGACACAATCTCTCGGTATATATGTATGTATGTATGTATGTATATATATATATATATATATATATATATATAAATAATCTTTCGTATTGCTATTTAAAGTATTACAACCAAAAGGAATTCCTCCGTTGAACAAAAATAATAATAATGAAACGTCAAAAAATATGTCAACCAACTGCCAACATCCTCCATAACCACACACAAAAATAACTAAAATAACAACCCACAACTCTCTGCAACACCCCCCCTCCCTCCTTTCCCCCACCCCGACATTCATCACCAACCCACAACCATAAATAAAGCCATTTCCACAGAACCCTCTTGGGGGGGGGGGTAGTCCAAAATACGACCCATTAAAAAAAGAAAAGAAAAGAAAAAAAAAAGCACGCCCACCCACGCCCTCCATCCAAGGCCCCAAAATAATAACCTTACACACTCCCCACACCCTAATAAAATGCATATCAAACGACCTCTTTTTCCCTCCCAGGCTACACCAGGCACACCACTACCTGTCCCTTCACTAGGTGTGTGAAATCGTGAATGGGTGTCCGATACACTTTAACATGATACGGTACACAGGGGAAAGAATTGGCGTGGAGAGTTATGCACGCAAGTACACGTAGTAACACGAATGGTAAGAAAATCCTCTATAAGTATGATACACATATACATACATACACATAGGAGTACACTCGTGAAAACGTTCACATAATGCTCCATCCCTACGCATACACACACGCCATGGTTCATACAAACATACACACACACACTCTATCTCTCTCTTTCACACACACACACACACACACACACACACACACACACACACACACACACACACACACACACACACACACACACACACACACACACACACACACACGCACGCACACACACACACACACACACACACACCACACACGCACGCACACACACACACACACACACACACATCGTCCTTAAACACAGACATGCACACGCGCGCGTGACCACAACCGTCGTGGGAGGCTGGTTCCATTTCGACAACTAAACGGCAGATAATTTAACCAATTTTCTATAGCATTATCCCATGCTCCAACAACTCGGTTTGATGCTATGGGCGTGATGGTGGAGACGGAAGTGTATGGGATATTGAGGGAGAAGAAGAGGAGGACAAGGAGAGTGAATTTTTGGGTGGTGGTAAAGGTGGTGGTGGTGGTGGAGGTAGAGGGGTAAGCGGTTGTGGGTGGTGGTGGAGGTAGAGGGAAGTGGTAGTGGTGGGGGTGGAGGTCGAGATGGTGATGGTGGAGGTGGTAATAGTGGTGGTGGTGAAAGTGGAAGTGGAGGTAGAAGAGATGGAGATAGAGGAGGAGGAGGAGGAGGAGGAGGAGGAGGAGAGGAGGAGGAGGAGGTGGAGGTGGAGGTGGAGGTGGAGGTGGGGGTGGGGGTGGGGGTGGCGGTGTCACTAGCAACAGCAATATTCACAGTACGCTAAACACGAGATGGAAGAAAAAAATATATACAAGAACAAGGATAAAAGACAACCAATGATAAAAACAAAAAGAGAAAAACAAAGTCAACACATTCAAAAGCTAATGACCTCAAGGAAGACAATATAAAAAATCATCACTTCAGAGGAAGCTAGAAGACCAGAAAATACACACACACACACACACACACACATACACACACACTCACTCACACACACACACACACACACACACACACATACAGAGTCCTATCTTTCGCTGAACAAAACAATCGGTGACAAAGTTTCTGAAGACAACACTGATACGAATATAAAGATTTATTTTTTTTCTTTAGTAACAACAACCTCCATCCCTTTTAAATTATGAGGAATTAGGAGAAGCTTTACATTTTTTTTTTTTTTTTTTTTTTACGAACTACTCTAAAAAGTTCACGAAATCCGTTCTTTAAACGTTACACGAAAATAAAAATAAAAAGTCTCCTGCTAAATCGGTGTACTGTTCCCGGCTAAATAAACCGTTTCATTTCAAATTCAAACGCGAAAAGTTGCGCATTTGGGTTCCCATTGATGTCCCAATCGCGAGATAAATCCACAGATAAACAATCGGTGACAAAGTTTCAGAAGACAACACTGATACGAATATAAGATTTTTTTTTTTCTTTTTGTAACAACAACCGCCATCCCTTTTTAAAACTATGTAGACAGAGAGACGAATAAGGAGAAGCTTTACATTTTTTTTTTTTTTTTTTTTTTTTACGAACTACTCTGTAAAAAGTTCACGAAAAATCCGTTCTTTAAACGTTAAACTGAATATATCAAAAAAAAGTTTCCTGCTAAATCGGTGTACTGTTCCCGGCTAAATAAACCGTTTCATTTCAAATTCAAATGCGAAAAGTTGCGCATTTGGGTTCCCATTGATGTCCCAATCGCGAGATAAATCCACAGATAACGAACCGAGCCGCGTCATGCGTGTCGCTGACGGAAATGATTCCA